GAGATTTCCCTATAACCTAAACCCTGTTTTAAATCCAAAAAAGAAACTAGAACTTCACTGGTCCAAAAGACCGATTGCGGTCAGGTTAAATACGGAATAGGGTTATTACGCGGTCTAACAGAGACAGGATACTTTGGAGGTTTGGGGGGTTTTATGGATCTTGCTTTTTCTTGTATTGAAAGCAAGATACAAAAAAAGTCAACGGGGGGTATTTAGGGGATGAAAATGGCAGCTTTGGGGAATCAACATGCAAGGAGTTTGAAGGGGGAATGAGGACGAGTTTGGACCCGGTGAGGGAGAGAAGGAAAAAAAGAAAAAGAAACCAGCAAATTCGAGGGGTGACTCTGTGCGGATCTGAACGCTGCATGAAAGCGCTGGGCCGGCGGGGTAACAGCGGCCTGCCGCGCCGCTGCACGGCTAACCCTGGATTGAAAAAAACAGTCTGCTACCAACCTGCCTCAGCGGAAGGGGATCAGCAAGTAGAAAAGAGATGAGTCAGGAACCCACCCCTGTGCCCCAACACACCCTGACATGTTTGTAGCCTGCAGGCTTTCCGCTGCTCCCGGTCTCCCCTAAGAGGTGGGATTTGGGACTCTCTCGGCTATGGGGCAATGCACGGGGCGTGCGGGGGGCGAGGCTGAGAACGCACCGTGTCCCTACCACCACCTGCCACTAGCGACCGGGTCTCTGGCCTGGTCTGGGGGCAGTGCGGAGGGAGAGGACACACGGAGCGGGCAGAGGACCCTCAGGGCGGGAGATGCTGCAAGCACAGGACTCGGTCGCCCTTGGTCCGGTCTGGAGTTGGGGAGAATAAAGAGCAGAGCTGGAAGGGAAGGAGGGAGGGAAAGAAGGAAAGAGAGAAAAGGAGAGATGAGAGAGGAGAGAAAGGGAAATGAGCGGCTGGACCCAGGGGGCGAAGGGGAGAGAGAAAAGCCACAGGGGAGAGAAGGGCCAGTGAGAGGGAGTGAGCAAGGAGAGAGAAGAGGAGGAAGAAGGGAAAGAACGAAAGCAGGCAGAGGAAGAGAAAGCCAGCAGCTCCCTCTGCCCTTCTCCTTCTCCTTCCTCTCCCTTGGGCAAGAAGAGAGGAAAAGTCCTCTCTGTGCTCTCCCCTTGGCTGCTTTTCCCCCTCCTGTTTTGCACTCGGACTTCCCAAGAGGGAGAGAACTGGGGGAAGGAAGGAAGGAGGAAAGAAAAGGCAGAAGAAGAAAGAACAAGTTGGGAAGGAGGAACGAAAGATGAGAAGAAAAAGCAAGGAAGGAGAGAAGAAGTGAGGGAGCAAAGAAGGAAGGAGGGAAGGAAGAAAGAAGAAGAAGAAAGGACAAGGAGGGAGGGGGGGAAGAAGAGAAAGAAGGGAGGGGGGAAGGAGGACAGAAAAAGCCTAGAGGAAAAAACCAGGAGGCAGGAGAAGAAGGGGAAGCCGGAGGAGAGGAGCCTGGCAGGAGGGCCCGGGCTCACCTTCGCGGCGCATGCCGACCTTGAGGCACTTCTTGAGGCGGCAGTACTGGCACTGGTTGCGGTGGTGCTGGTCCACGGGGCAGTCGCGGTTGCTGCGGCACGTGTAGCTCAGGTTGCGCCGCACCGAGCGCTTGAAGAAGCTCTTGCAGCCCTCGCACGTGAACTGCCCGTAGTGCTTCCCGCTGGACTTGTCCCCGCACACCATGCAGTCCACGCTG